GGCGAAGCTGTTAAATTGATCCCATTAAGAGTGACCCGATTTCCATTGAGAGCTGAGCTGCAATGCAAACCTGCAGGCACACCGACCCTGACTGAGCCCTTCTGTTCCTCTTTCCCAGTTCCAGATGGCTGCGCCAGGTCTGTTGATCACAGTGTGCGCCACTGACTGTACTAGACTGGATTCCTACAAGGGCAGACCACCCATCTGCACCTGCAGAAGACAAAACATATACAGCATAGTACAGAAATGACAAGAGTGTGTGTTAGTGTTTTTGTGGCTGTATTTATCTTAAAGAGGTTTGTTGCTTAACTGTAGAGGTCCTGTCAGCCTTTATACTCTAGGCTGAACAAAGAAAAAACGATTGGTTGTTCCAATTGAATTGGTTCAAAAGACACTCGTGTTTTATCCTTAACATTGCGGGAAAAGTTTGGCGTTGCACATGTTTAGAAGACTAAGTTAGTGATGTGTAGAATATGCTTAATGAGTTTATGAGATGAGTTGTGTATGGAGCTCTGGCAGTCTTAAACAGTGGTGCAGCTGTGAGGGGTTTTCTCCTTGTGCTTATCTCCAATCGTGTGCGCTTAAGTGTAAAGTGATAAAAAGGTTCAGGTAAATAAATTAATAGTATTGATTCAGTCATTCCAGGTTATGTTGCAACATCCTTTGTTTTGGGGAAAAAGTGGACAAAGTGGCAGAAACATGTCCCCCAGTGCGTTACACCTTTGGCACCCAGAGGCAGGGCAGAGGTTTCTGATCTCGGCACCCCCAGTTCTTCCGGCTGTGTTTTGAGTTAGCTGACCTTTGCCAGAAGAATAAGAAGGAAGAGCTGAGTGGAACGGTTCTCTGACGCCGCAGATGGGGGCGCCTGGAGATCAGGGTGAGAAAAGGGACCTCAGGTTTCTTGTGCGAGTACCTGTGCTAGGTACTCCAGCTGCTGCAGTGTGCCCGTTGTGTTTGAGTCTGTATTTACTTCCTCCCCAGCCTCTCCAAAATACCAGATTAAGACCTCATCAGGATTCATGTTGTGGCTTCTGAACAGCTTGTAGCCCTAGACTTACATTCAATATTACTGTGCTGTGTTCGTGCAATGGGGAACCGAGCAAGCAAGCTGCTAGTCCATCTGGCTTTGTTTTTCCCTGAATATACGTCCATTTTTATACAGGCTTTTTAAAACGCTTATCCCCAAAACTGCCTTCAGCGACGGCCTTGATTCCTTTAGGGATGAGCTATCAACATCTTTGCCGGTTTATTTGTTTTCTGAACATTTGCTTCTTGCGTTGAAGAACATGTGTGTATTAATTACCCACGTGTTCACATAAGCCGTGTACATTTGTTTTGTTTTTTTTTCTGGTTCATCTTTCTGTTTATTGGAATATTTTCCTGCATTTATTTTCAAAATGAGGTTCAGACATCACAAGCTATGGTGTTGTGTAAAAGTTAACACTCCAAACAATACAGCCGAGTGCAGAGTTCCTTCAGGTTGGCTTTTTAATGCTGAAACAAAATTCCTAAAGCAAGTAGCAGGTACCAAGGGCTAGTTTATCAAGGTGGATTAGAAGAGCCACAGAGTGCGTATCCCTGGACTAGGTGACTACTTATTAAAGACTTCGTGAGCTATAAGAATTAATTTAGTTTAATTTAGAGAGACCTTGCAGAGTGGT